TCAGACTGGAGTGGTGTGACCTCTGCTCATGACTTATCATGTGCTTTCCTGAATTTAGGCAGCAGTGAGTTTGAGTGAATGTGGTGGAAGTTTGACATAAGCAAGGGGAGTCAGTGGTCACAACACTTGTTCATCATCAACACAACACAAAATTACATAACTGGTAAAGCCACAGATGGCCATTCATGGGGTTCAGTAGGCTGAGTTGACTTTGCCTTCTCTGTTGTTTTAAAGCTAGTCCAGGAAAACAATCAGTTACATGGGAGATCTTTTTCAGAAGCACTTCTAGAAGCTGATGCAGGAGTACCGCTGTGCTTGAAGTGGATGGAACTTGCACTTAGTATGTCCTCTGAGACTTTCATTCTGACAAATAGGTCCTTTTCTGACATCTTGCATCTAAGAGGGCTCCGCATGGTTCTCCTTAAAGCATCCAAAGCCCCAAACCCATTTGGCCGTAACAGCTGGGTAAATTTGGTTGCAAAGTTTGCGTATTAAGTATTTTCAGAGTTTGGGTCTTCAAGTTCTGCCTTTCTGCCAGTAAACGGTGGAAGACTGCAGACAACAGATTTGCTGATGAAAAACAGGCTGTCCTGAATAGGAAGGGGAATTTTATAACACCAAACATCCAAAAAGACAAGGTAAAAATGGGTGGTTGATGGCAATCTTTGCGTACCTCAGTGGGCTTGTGGAGAACACTGTGCGTACATGCTGAGCAGCAGGCCAGATCAGATGGTTCTTCTGTTCCATGTAATAACTCTGTGCTTAATTTCAAATAAATGGAAACCAAATATAAAATGGAGTATGGAGTACTGCATCCAGCTCTGGAGTCCTCAGCCCAGGATAGACATGGACCTGAAAAACTGACAGAGGGTAGATTAAGATTAGACATTAGGAAGAAATTCTTCACTGTGAGGGTGGTGAGGCACTGAACAGATTGTCCCAAGAAGCTGTGGCTGCCCCATCCCTGGCAATGTTCTTGGAGCAACCTGGTCTAGTGGAAGGTGTCCCTGCCCATGGCAGGGGGTTGGAACCAGATGATCTTTAAGGTTCCTTCCAACCCAAACCATTCTGTGATTCTATGAAATATTTTTTTTAATTAAAAAAAAACAAACAAACAAACACACTATATGAAAGCATTTAAGGAATATAAAATGAAAAGGAAACTCAGCCAATGAAGTAATACACAGTGGTTGTATATCTGTATAAAGGAATCTGTTAGTGTGATTTGCTGTAAGTGCATTGATGTCTAAAATAAAATCACTTGGATGTAAAAATAATTTAAATTACAGTAAGAAGTAATTCATTACAGAAAGTTGATAACCTTAGGTAAGGAAACAAATGCAGGCAGCATTTCTGATATGTCCTTTTTTAGCTTCATTCACACAGGGAAGCCTCTTTCTTCTTCAGAAATGATCCCGTATGTGTTTATTGGGTGAGTGTCTTTCCATCTGTTGTAGGAAGGAGGGGAGAGAGGTTCAGGAGACTGTGCTGCTGTTCCTCTCCTTTCAGGAGATACTTTGGGCATGTGCCCATCTATATCCAGCTGGATCTCTGGATGCACTTCTGCTCCCCCAGCCCCTCTGAATTTCTTCATCATGCCTATCTTTCTTTGAAAGAGGGAGAAAAGGCAAATAAACTACTACAGAGGAAGCAGACCTCTCTTATGTTCCTTCCTGCATTGTGGCAAATGAATTCCGGGGACACCCGCCTGAATAGCACATGTTAGATACGAGGAGAATGGCTACTGTAAAGGCCTTGAAACCTTGATTTCTTGGGGGCTAGCGCAGGTACAGAAGTTCCCTCTGCTTCCTCTTGATACACAAAAGAAAAAATGGAAGTTATGAAGCCACAACTGAGTTGCTGATTTTTAAGACTAGCAACTTAAAACAGGAACTTACTTTGCTTTTAACTGAAGCAGCTCTATTGGAATAGGAGGCTGCTCAGAATAGTATCTTTCTCTTTCCACATTTTTCTTTTATGGTAGTGTCTATGTCAAGCTTCAGGCTGATTCAGCAAGATTTAGTATGAAAATAGTCTTAGGGAAATGAAGAGTCAGCTGGGAACTGTGTGCTTGCTGAAAAAAAAAACAATTTCAAATAACACTTAGAAAAGTACTTATGGGTAAAAAGTAGTATTTGGTTCTGAGGATACGGTTTGAGATCTACTGGCACATACAAAAGACTGCATGCTGGTTTACTATCACCCTGAAAATCAGCGAGAAAACTTACAGCTGCCAGCTTATTTAGTATTTTTTAGCAGTCTGGAGTCTTGTAGCATTACTGGTGTTTGCCCTAATGGTTCTGGTTTAAGTACACCTCTGAGGAAATGTGTTTGTCCAGCACGTGGAATATTACACAAGAGTAAGGAAAAATACACCATCTGGGTTTTACAGCTGATCATCTGTTTTCAGGGTCACTTGGTTTTGCTGAGTTGCCTGAAGCAAGACACACTCAGCCTGAATTAACTGAAGCAGACTTTGAAATCTTGAGCATTTCCATGATCATTCTGATAGGTTTTGTAAGCTCTTGAAACTGTTTAGGAGAAATAACTTGACACTTGTTTTGTAATGAAGCACACACTTGTCCTTCTCCTGTGCCTAGAGGCTTGATGTGTGTACTTGCTTTAGGAATTCATGAATCTACCCTTGTTTGAATAGGAAACGGTGTGATAAAGTCTTGCTTTAAAAAGCAAATAAGACCTTGAGAGCCTGCGTAAGGTGGAATTTACTCTGTGCCCTGCTCAAGAGACTGCGCAACTTCATGCTGTTAGCTTATCAAAGCAGAATGGGACTGCTAGAGAAATCTGTGGCTTACAGCTGCCTCATACCATAAGAGACATTGTCAGTGTGGACACATACAGTTAATCATGGTTAGCTGGGCCAGGGAAATGGAGCTTGTGGACACGTGCCTGCTGGCAGCCTCCTTGCCACTGCTGCGCTCCCTTGTTCTGTGTGAAGACTTCCAGGGCGTTAACCAAGTACCGTTAATAATCCAGAGGCAAAGTGGTTTGTTTGTTTCCCCTCTCCTGCTTGAAATGGCCACTGGTTCAAAGCCTAAGCGACTTTGCTAGAGAATGCAGTGATTTCTCCTGCACATGTCAACTGTTTCTCCCAAAAGCGGTCTCTGCACCATTTCATGCTAGCTGCACTCTGATCCCCTCTGCCACCATCCCACAGGGACATGCTCCCTGTATTCTTTGCATGCAGGAAGCAAAAAATATGTTTTCCCTTCCCAGCACATCCTTTTCCCTAATTGGTGTGATGGACATAACCACTTAGGCTAATAGTTTGCCTCACTGTGCTCTTTGGGATTAGTGGGATGAGAGTTCCTGTAATAGCACTGTCTTCCTGCATGGCAAGGCCTCAGCCCTGCCTAGTCTGCAGCAGCTCACAAGAGGCTCTGCCTTTCATGAAGAGACTAATCTTGAGGGATTAATGAGGAAACAACACTTACTGGAATAAATAAAGTGCAGTTAAAACCAAAATGCTGAAAACCAAGGGGAGAAAACAACCTGGGCCCGAGAAGTGGGCTGGAAAGAGGCAGGACAATGGCTATCAAGGCATAACCTCCAGAAAAATTGAACACAATATTCATTACTATTTAGGCTTAGTGCACCTTTCCGTTTCTGGGATTCAGTACTGAAGCTTAAGCCAAAATCTTTATGAATAAGCAAACAAAATACCCAAGCACATGCAGCTGATGGACTGTAAGGGTTTTGTTGGTGTCTTTTTTTCTGTAGCATCTGTGGTGCTTTACCTAGCCTTTATTTAGTCAGAAGGTTCTTCATTGTGGCATAAAGTCTAGCCTAGAAAAACAGTGTTTCCTTAGGTCTTCACTGGATGTTATTCTGTGAGGATGGGAATTCACTTTATTACTTGCTTTCTAATGAAGAGCCTGCCACTGCTGTGGGAAGGAATTGCTGTTTCTCCAGTGAGACCATGGTGTGTAACCAGGGATAGAGAATAGCCTTCATCTTTGAAGACAAAACTGAAGATACACGTTTGCTTTGAATCAAGGAATAGACTAATTGCACAGAGAGTTTGCAGGCCATTTGTTGGACCTATTGATTAGCGGACTGAAGTATTGATGAGTACCTGGTGCGTTTTCATTGCTGCCTAATGGAAGGGTTAGAAAGCTCATGTGCATCATCTTGAAAGCATGTTCACAATGTCACACCGAAACACAAGGCAATAAGGTTTTGTGCAAAGGATCTCTGAACACTGGGGAAGGTGAAATGAGATTTCAAGCTCTAATCTGGTTACAGATTATATGTTGAAACAGTCACGTTTTATGCAGTGATATTTAAATGTGGCATCTTTAAAGATATGCTTCTGCTTTCCTATGCATTTACTCCATCATTTTTCTTCTGGGAAGAAGTGCAGTGCTTGTTTCCATACCCCTTTGCTTCTTTGTACCACCACTTTGTGTCTGTGCGGCCCTTGGGTCTGTCTTCCTTTGCCTGACTTTCATAGCTTTCTACGCCAGCATTGGGATGGATGTTTGCCTCCTTCCTGGTTGAATCCAGTATCCCTCTTTCCTTCAGTTCCCTGTGCTTTGGTACAAAATGCTTTATAGTTCATGCTTAATAGTGTTGTGTCATTCTCATGGTTCTGAAGATATTCTGGAAGTAATTTATAACAAATCTACTTCAGACATCTCCTTCCTGAAATTACAGGTTGACCTGACATCCACGTTGCACAGAGAGGTAGTATGTATGACCTACAGGAGAGCTTTTTTTATCCCTCTAGAGTGGCATCTGGAGGGGAGCCAGGTTGTCATATGTAGTATCATTTCAGATGTCCCAGCTTTGAACAAGTGAGTGTCATCCTTAATGTAGTATTGAAGTCACAAACTATTTAACATCTCAATTTGGAGTAACTATATTGCATGGATATCTCAGTTACACTCATTCAAATAGAAACAGCTGAGACTTGTTCCAAATCACAGTAATAGGAACTGATTGTACAACTGATACTTCCTAATTTTGTCTTCTTTTTGCAGGTCCAACAAGGACAAAGAAACCACACTGCAGAACCTGTAATAGATGACTATAAAAAAATGGGGACTCTCTTTGGTGAACTAAACAAAAGCCTCATCAGAATAGGCTTCACAAGGATGTACTTTGGAGAACGGATAGTAGAACCTGTAATAATTATATTCTTCTGGGTCATGCTCTGGTTTCTTGGCCTACAAGCTCTTGGACTGGTTGCTGTTCTGTGCCTTGTCATTATTTATGTACAACAGTGAAATTTTATATATGCTGTTCGCATAAGGTATTTCAACACTGTCACTGTGTCAGTGGATTTATGTGTTTAAGTGAAAGGGTGGCACATCAAAAGCTGCAATGCTTTGAATTGCATTTCATTGAAATTTCAATGTTTGGGATGAGGAGGACTAAATTGATACATTTTAAGCAGTCAGCAGTGCCCTACTATTTCTTTGAAGGGCAAAAAATGACATGTTTGTAATATAATGGTGTCCAGCATACTGTTTTCTGCATTCTTGGGGCCTTAGTCCAAGGACTGGCTTTTTGTCATTGCCCTCTCCCCCTGCAATGTTCTTGCTAGTATATTCAAAATTTCCTGCCTGGTTTTACAAGGGCACTCGATGTGAGTGTCCTGTTTCAGTGTTGTGAGGGGCTCATGTGCTGTTTGTCCCCTGAATCTGCCTAACTGGCTCTTTTTTCGCTGAAGAGGGAAATCTGCACTAGGGAGGTTTGCTAACAAACAGACCTACAATGACAAATGGTCATAAGGTGAACGCAACTTCCTGACACAAAAGCATCTTTGGTTAGTATAGTTCATAACAAGCTTTCCCTTCGGAAACAAGCTATGCCAGCAAAATTCTTTTATGCTAATATTAGTAGCTTCCCACAAGGCTTCAGCTGTTGTTCAGGAGGAATCACAGTCCTGTGTTGGGCAAATGGTCTAATGTAGCTCTGCCTTGTGTTTGGAAATGTACTGCTCCTGCTGCTATTTTTGGGTTTTTTTTGTTTTGTTTTTTTTTATACTTGCTAGGTCCCCCAGCCTTCCTGCTGAAGATAAATATCTGGATAATTCATGGACTTTGTAGGTAGTTACAGCTGCAGTGTTGGAGAGCTGCCATTCCAGTTGGCAGTGCTAGATGGAATATTGTCTGCTTCCTCTGGGTCGCGTGTGAAGTGTCTGAGCATCCAGACAGATATCAGATCAGATCTCTTAAAACTTCCCTGATTTGCTGCAGTGTGGACCAAACACGAGCTGGAAGCCTTGTGTACATAAAGAAATCAGACCTGTTTCCTCATGCAGGGCAAGAATGTAGTTGAAATCAGGTGGTCATTTTATGATGATTCATTGTCACACTAGACAGCAAAAGGGCATATCTGTAGTTGCATGTCACAGGTAACACAAATGGGAGAATAGAATAGAATCATAGAATCATAGAATAGTTAGGGTTGGAAAGGACCTTAAGATCATCAAGTTCCAAACCCCCTGCCATGGGCAGGGACACCTCGCTCTAAACCAATAGGATATACACATTCAAGAGTAGGTGCACATTCAAGAGTAGGTGCACTCTGGCTCCTAGGGAGCCAGTGTGAATACTCAGTACACCATGGGTGTACTGGGTATTTCCAAGTTGACTGTGCTCATTTAAAGAAAAACAGTAAAATGAGACCCTCTTTACTGAATAGGCTATCAATTTAATAACTTTTAGTAAGAAACCTAATTGCAAAATACAATTCTTCTGTGGTAGAGCAAAATTATAGATTTATACAACGTAATAGATGTTAATCTACAGAAAACTACTTAACCTTTTGCAGTGACTTTTTTCCTAAACATTTTTATACTAGCAGAGATCAACAGTAGGTTAGTTGAAAATGCTTCTTATCCAGAGGCTTTTGAAGTTAAGGAGAGCTTCTCTATGGTCCCAGTCTTTCAACTGGATTCTCAAGGCTGTTTTGTGCCTACTTGGATCATGTTGGTTGCTGAGCTCTATTTCCAGGACCTTTGGCACCAGTCCTCATGGACTTTCCTATTAGTGAAATAAGTGTGATTTAGGGCAGTGAACATGAGCTTTAAAGTCTGTCTGTGCCTAAATACTATCTGTAGAGGTGTCTTTCTGCTTTTGTATCAAATGAATTAGGTACATTTTGAGGAACCTGGTCTCCTCTCCAGGCCTTCACATGAGGAGAACTGAAGCCCAGCTGTGTGTTCAGATGGCAACCTGCATTCATTGGTCCCTACTTAAATAGTTATGCTGGTGGCAGGGAAATGCTTGACAAGAGAAGACATTCTGGATACAGGGCTTTGTTACTCACAGCTGGAAGTCTCAAAGCAAACAGCAAGTACAGGCTGAACTCAGAGGCAGGAGCTCTGTACTCACAAGTGCCTAGGGATAAACTTTGGTATTGTTTCAAGTCCCTTAGAAAGCAGAGCATCTGTTTACACCTTTGTATATTTGTATAGCTACGATGGTGGATTTATATGTGTGCTTTCCCTAGACCCTTTTGTATAAGGGCTGTACTACAAAAGCATCTTGTCATTTAAAAAAAAAAAAAAAAAAGAGATAAAATCCTTCTTTTCTGTCCACAATCAAGTTATTGTTCAGAGGATCTCATCCAGTTCCTTTCATCCTGTAGGAAAAAGTCTCTGTTATATCCTTGTTCTGGTAGTACTCTTGTGTAAAGCTGCTGTGCTGTGAGATGGCATGTAGCATTTCTTCGAAGTTGTGATTTTGCTATGTATATAATGAATGGGAAACAGTGATCCCAGGGTGTGACTGACAGGATCAGTAAGGACATTGCTTATATGCATGTAACCCTTTAGTATGTGCATAACTATGACTGTTTCACTCATGAAATCATTTCAGTTGTTCTTCCAATGTTTATGTTTGTGTACATGTACTCTAGGGAAAGGTACCTTTTGTACTGAGACTGTGTACAAGTGAATGTTTATATGGTTTTTCTTAAGGGTAAATTACTACATGTTGTCCTATGAAGTTTTTCACTTTTAAAAATGCGAAAAAATAGCCCTAATAGAGTTAGGTTGACTGAAAATGAAATAGTGTATTGCATGGAAGATACCCCTTGCCCATTTGGTTTCATACATTCCATTGTATATAAGAACTTGCACAGAATCGTCGGTTGTAATTTTGTGCTACTGCTGTACTATTTTCCTGTCATTTGCAGGGAAGGAAAAAAAAAGGGGGCTGGGATACAATCAGACATAAAGAGTGAAAAATTGAATGTGGTGAAATGATGCTTACATGTGTCAGGAAAATATGATCATAAGCATGTGCCAAAAGTGAGGGGGGAATGAGTGAACAGTCCTCACATTGTGTTCTTCTTTTCATCCAGATGTAGCTCCAAGGCAGAGGAAGCACCAAGCTTTCAAAGGCTATCCCTAGCTAAAAAACAGGATGATAATTAAAAAAAAAAAAAAGAAAGAAAAAAGACAACTTCACTGTTGTCTATATAGTGAAAAGTGATAATGTCTATCTATATTGGTATAGATGATGATTATTCTTGATAGAACTGAAAGCACCTTTATGCATCTGTGTATAGAACTGTATGAAGGAACTATGTCCCTTAAATCTGTGTTAAACAACAAATGACGTAATTCCAGTTGTTCCATGTAACATATTGAAAGCTTTTTACATAACCTCTGTTTTTTAAAGGCTGGACTCTTTAGTACTATTTCGCAGCCACCAAATGCGTACGTGTTTGAACTGTGTACAGAGAAGAGGCTCTACATGTAGGAGAACCTTGGAGAACCCATTTGCACTGAAAAATCATCACATTGAACCTGTCCATATTAAAAGGAAAGAACCTATTTCTTAAAAACTCTGTATAAAATGAATCCTGTGGAAAGCACTTTGTTACTCTTTCTAATAAAAAACATTGCCATCAATGAGAACTGTGAATTCTTTATGGTGCTTTGCTCACAGTTACTTGACTGCTTTCGAAATATGGTAGGCCCAGATGACATGGGGCAGCATTCACATATCCACTGAAATTGGTTAACTTGCAGTTAGTGGAGAAACAAATCCACTTTAAACTGTTCATTCTTTTCTTTCTGCAGGTCAGAAGGGTGTTCATTCTGCCAGACACCTAAGTGTATCTGTGTTGTTCAGGATGCACAGTGAGTTAAGCAGTACAGGTTTTCTAAAAGTAGCAAAGCTGAATTTTGGTCCTTCAAACTGTGCACAAGGTAAAAATCACTGCTTGAATAAATGCAAGCCTTCAGGTTTTATTTCCAATCCAGTATCTTGGTCATGCCTTTTATGAAATGCATGCAAATTCAGGAACAGCTTGTCTTTGATTCTTTAATTCTTTCCATCCTATGCTTTGCTCTAAGCTTTGGAAGTTTATTTTTTAGCCTCTTCTTTCTTGTTATTTTTCTCCTTTCACTCTAGTGTTGCCTTCTCTGAGGCCATTCACATAGAACAGTCTCTCTGTGCCCAAGCGTTCAGGCTTTTTCAGCATTCAGTCATTTTAAAACCTACCTAGACAACCTGTTTTCAGTTGGATTTTATGTTTTACAGCATGCCTGCTTAACACCAGAGGGGAGGAAACTACGGAGAGGATTTTAAATAATATGCATATGCTGGTAATCACTTCTTTTTTGCAGTGCTTATCTGTTAGTTTAGATGAAGGTTACAGAACTCCAAGAGAGTGTTGCAGCTTTGCAGGGTAAAGGACTGCTGTTAGATTGGCACCAGGATTTTGAGAATAGATGGGTCAAGCAGCATGTAGCTTAGGGTTGTTTCAAGCTCATGCAAGTGGGTAGGTTGCCAGCTGCCTTAACTCCAGCCAAAGTTGTTTCTTTCAACAACTGTCTCCCAAGTGCACATAAAATCATCAGTGTTCCTTCTGCGCTCATTCTGAAGAAACTGAGCTTTCATCAGCTCGGTTATACACAGAGGAACCAAAAGGGGATGAGAATGGGAAAGGAGAATTGGATTTACAATAGTGTAACTTGTGTGCAAGCTTGTGGTCTCTTCAAATTTTCGTCCTGTACTATCCAGATAATGTTCTTGTCTCGTATGCATTTTCAGGAGTCTTTATTAGCCTATGTATATAATCAAATTAATACGGAAGTGAAGCAGCCGAGATGATAGATGCTTTCTCCCACGTAATTTACTGAAAGCAGCTTCTCTGCAGCCCCCAGGTGGCAGGAGGGATGTGACTGGATAAAGCCCTTCTGATGACAGGAGACTGCAGAGGAGGATACTCTTGGTGCATCCTCAGGTGAACTGACTCCTTTCAAGGTTATCCAAGTGCTGGGGAAAACATCTTGCCCAGTCCCATGTATCACTGAAATAGTAGGAGTCCAAGTGGCATGGAAAGGAAAGGACTATTAGCCACAGTCCAAGGGATTTAGTCAGTGTTTGAAATAAGAGATGATACGGAATAGAGTGTCTAGGTTTTATGTTCATTAAATGTAAGTTAATTAAGCCAAATTGTTTCTTGGCTTGCCCTGGCACATCACCTTTGTACAGAAAGAGCACTGCTTGCAGTGAATGTTTCTGCTTCTGGAACCTATCTATGTCTAGGTGTATTTTAGACGTACCATTTACTGTTAATTGCATTTTAAAGCATTACAAGGGAAAAGGGCTCATCTTCAGCCCTTATTTGCATGAGGGTTTAATTAGTACATATGAGAAGGGAGCCAAATTAGTCTCTGGCAAACGGCTGAGGTCTTCCTTGTAGAGGAAGAAGCTGCTAATTGATATGTGGGTGATGAAGGTACAAAGGACATGAGTTTGCATGCAGTCCAGAATGGGTGTTGGAAAGTGACCATTTTTGTGTCCTAATGCACAAATAAATTATCTGTTTTCTAATGTAGTGATCTTCCCAAGATAGGTGGAACATAATTCCCAGATATAAAAAGTCTGTAGCAAGGAGTTGAATTATTAGGTAAGGGAAATTACTTTGGAAACCAAAATCCTAATCTGCAAAGGATCAGACATTAAGAATTCTCTTCTTAGAATCATAGAATAGTTAGGGTTGGAAAGGACCTTAAGATCATCTAGTTCCAATCCTCCTGCCATGGGCAGGGACACTACCCACTAAACTATGTCACCCAAGGCTCTGTCCAACCTGGCCTTGAACACTGCCAGGGATGGAGCATTCACAACTTCCCTGGGCAACCCATTCCAGTGCCTCACCACCCTAACAGTAAAGAACTTCCTCCTTATATCCAATCTAAACTTCCCCTGTTTAAGTCTTAACCTGTTACCCCTTGTCCTGTCACTACAGTTCCTAATGAAGAGTACCTCCCCAGCATCCCTATAGGCCCCCTTCAGATACTGGAAAGTTGCTATGAGGTTTCCACGCAGCCTTCTCTTCTTCAGGCTGAACAGCCCCAACTTTCTCAGCCTATCTTCATATGGGAGGTGCTCCAGCCCCCTGATCATCCTCATGGTCCTCC